TCCTCCTCCTCTCCCTCCTCCCCACCATGAGGCCTCAGCCAAGGAAACGGCAAAACCAGAGGCCTCCTCTAGTCCTAAGGGTCTTGTGAAAATCACCAGGGGTCAGTGTAGAGGTTGTGGGGGTCGGGCCGGTCTGGGGGTGACAGAAGTCACCAAAGGTCAAAGGGGACGGTTCAAGTTACCGGGTCTCACTCAGGCCCCTCACCGGAGGGAGACTGGGGGGGATCCCGAGAGGTCATTAGAGTCGTGGGGGGGGGGGGGCATGAGAGGTCGCAGGGCAGAGTCTGTCCACACAGGTGGGCAGGCCAGGCCTTAGCCTGGCTCCAGGAGCGCACCTGGTGCCAAAGCGCGTTCGGAGGTGCGCGGGCCTGGGTGCTGCAGAAAGAGGAGGACACCCCGCTCCCCAACTCCAGAGAGGGGCACTCTAGACCGGGCCCAGCCGGATGGGCCGGGCCAGGAGCCTCAACCCTACCCCACGTGGGGACTCCGGCCTGTTTTCGTGGCCCTGCCCTTTTGGCGAGGGGCCTGCTGTTGCCTAGAGATGGGAGCGCGCTGGCGGGTGGGGACCAGCAGCAAAGGTGCACTGTGCGCGCGCGGGCTGCACAACCTCTCCTCCTTCCGGGACCGACATCCCGATCAGACCGTCCCGCGTGGAGGGCTTCCAGCCCCCTTTCGCCTAGTCCGTCTTGCTGAGGCTCCTTTACGGCGCGTTCCCCCCCCCCCCCCATTTTCCCGTTTATGTGACTGAGAAGCTGAGTAAGAATCCGGTGGGAAGAAGGGACTCCAGCCCGGCGAGAACAAAGACATGGGGTGGCCAAGACCGAGCTGACCCTGAGGCGGGAGCCTCACCTCGCGGTTTCGGGAAAGCAGGGCGTTGCGTCCGGACCCTCGGGTGGCGAACACGCCCGGGTGGACGGGGCTCCGACGCCTTGCCCACTGAACCCACACTCCGGCGCGCCCCCATTTGAAGGATAAAGACGGAAGCGCCGGGGTCGGAGGTGACTCGCACCGGCACGCGGCAGCCTGGAGGGAGTGGGAAGCAGACGGTCCTTCCGGCGCTTCCCCTGGGGGTGTAGCCTGGCGTCCACACGCCGCTGGCCCTCTCTGCACCGCCCACCCCTGCAAACGCCAAGCCAATCGGGCCCGGGGGAGGGGGCAACGTCGCTCTTCGGGCCTCGCCCCCCTCGAGATAAGTCTGGAATGTCAAATATTTGCTCGCGGGGCCGGGCGCCGCGAAAAAAAATCCCCGAGTCGGGCCTGGCTCCCGGCTCCGCTTTCCGCGCAGCCGCACCTCGCAGCCCCGGACTCTCCTAAAGCTGCCCTGGCGCACATCGCTCCTCGTGGGCTCTTCTCCGGGCTGTGCCTTCGGGACTGAGCCCGGGAGCCCCCCGCGGGCCGTCCTGGCGCTGCTAGATCGCTGTCTCACCCATCCTAGCGCCCCCATGCGTCCAACCTCTAGTCCGCGTTTGGCTTTTCCCTGTTCCGCGCGGGTCTCCACGCTGGCGCCTCCCGAAGCCTCCCTCTCGAGGTGAAGACCTTCCCAGTGTGGCATCCCTGAGCGCATTCCCATGGAAGACGCCTTCATGCGTGTCCAAGTCCCTACCGGATAGTGAACCTGAGCCAAGGGGCTGGCAGCGTGCGTGCCGAGGCTCCCGCAAACCCCCTTGCCTCCGTCCGACCGCCCCCCGTCGCAGGACAATGCCCGAGGCTTGGATTCTCCTTGAAAAACTAAATTAGTTAAAATACCCTTAAGGACCCTGCTGTGTTGATCTCTCTTACTCATTTTAGGATGGGTCCTCCCAAATGACCCCATTAATACTAAGTACCCCGCACTCCTGTCCTCTATTCGGCTCTCACATCTCCTTTCCCCCAGCACTAAACCAACTTCTAACACAGTAAGGCATTTATGCCCCAGCTGGTTTGGCTGGATGCAACCAACTGCGGATCAATATATATATATATATATCTCATTTATATAGGGTGTCCCAAAATTCACACAAGAAGTAATTTTGATAGAAAACACAAGTTTATAATTAAAAATTATAAAATTTTTATTGATTCATAAAGTATTCAGTATAGGGTTATGTATGGAATAGCACATCGGGTAAATGGCCTCCATGGCTTTGCTGGCACATACACAAAGCCGTGGTCTTCATTGGTCTTCATTGGTCTTCATTGTCCCTGCTCCTGGGCCATAATTGGTATTGATAATGCTCAAATTGAAGGGATTGAAATAAAAGGGCAACAGATATTAGAATCTGATTCAATAAACCAAGTAAAATTAGGCTTTTATTTTTTGTTGTTAATGCTCACGCAAAATTCAAATCTTGCGTGAATTTTGGGACACCCTATATATATGAGCATCCGGATAATTTTGGTATGGGGGCATTAGGAGGAGTGGGGTCCTGGAACCAATCCCCCGAGATACTTAGGGAGCATTATAGTTGCTGAAGACCCAGTGAATGAATGGCTGGCTTGCTTGTCTGCCTCTGGGTATTCCAGCGATAGTCATCTTCCCTGAGCCAGAGGCTTTACACTAGTGTCTCATCTGCTCTCTTCACTTCCCTAACAACTCGCCCTTGACCTGGTTAACAGTGCTCTTCCTCCAGGTTTTCCCCTCAAGGCACCGCCCTTTGAAGCAAAGATCCCTACAGTAGTTTGAAATATCTGTATTTCACTGATAAACCTCCCACTTCACTCCCACTAGGACTTAGGAATTATGAATGAATGAATCGAGATAAGGTATGCGAGAAGGGTGAGTGAGGCTCCAGCGGTCCTGCTGGATGCCTTTCCCAAATCGTACTCCAGGTATTTGGGAGAGAGGAACTTGGTCCCTCCAGCCTAGCCTCGCTCTAGGAATCCCATCCTCGCTTCTTCCCCTCACTTCGTGGCAGGACCCGAAGGGCAAGTCCTGCCGCGAAGGCAGCGAAGGCAGCGGACGCTCCTGCCGCTGATATGGGCAGATACCCGGGTGGGGATCCTCGCCTGGGACGGGAGTGTGGCGGGTCTCGTGGACCTCCGGGGAGCCTAGGAGTGGTGTAAAACCTCCTCCCTGGCCAGAAAACACCCTGCTGTGAGAGAGGATTCGACGCTGGGTGCCAGCTGGTGTCCCCCGCGGCGATCCACACGCGCTGTCCCAGGCCCATCCCCACCCTTAGCGGGCCCGGCGGCACCAGGCCACCCTGCCTCATCTCCCGGCCTCCAGAGCGAGGCTCCCCCCGAGTTCCCATCTCCGCCCCTTTGCCGAATCCCCGCCAGGGGGCGCGCTGACTCTGCCGCTGGATCCAGCTTCCTTGAAGAAGCAGCACTGGAAGGTTCTACTTAAGGTGAAAGGGGAAGGCCC